TTACTCCTACAGTTACATGTTTCTCTCTCTCCCCCACTTATATTAAAATTGGTATTTTTATACTATAATGTATTTTTAATAATATTGATAACAACATTATTTTGCAATGATTTTAAAGCAAGAAAATTTATCGAGAACAATTATAATATGTTGCTATTTTAATTCATAAATTGTCTTTAATTATGCTCCCATTGAATTTAAATCCTGATTCCGTCTCTGCATATAACCTATCTTTTTTTCTGAAGAAATTTATATAAATAACTTCATGATACGTCAGATATTTGTGTATGGCACTGTTGAGGGTGATAAGTTTAGATGATGCAAAGCACCGACAATGTTTGAGAAGCAAACAAAGCAATGTGGGGAATCTTGATTCTTTGATCTCAATAGATCCGAAACTTTGACATTCCAAATTTTGTCCTCCTGCAAGGAAAGTTCCCTCGTTCACAAATTTGAAAAAAGCCTTTTTCGTTCGTTTTTTAAACTTCTTTTATTGTGACAAATTAGCTGTGGACGGTTGTCCAATCCGGGTCCATATATGGATTCTTTCCAAGTCTTATGACATAGATATGGCCCTTCGCCTACGATCACTGAATGGCTTCGTACTTTCTTGTTCTTCTGATCTAAAACTTCCTTCAATTTCATCTAGAGCTGCAAATTTAAATTAAGACAAACGGGTCAATCCGAAATTCATTCTTTTTGCATGGGTTTAGCCCGATCGACATACACAATCATGTCGAGTTAGGCAGGTTTCGACTCTCGAATCGGATGGATTCGAGAATCTAGGCCTCAAAGTTTCCCCCGCCATGTTATACGTCTTTTATATGTATCTTTTTAATGCTTTGTAAAGTTTTAGACCGACCAAGTATGCCCTTAGCCGCGGGGATTTTAGATGACCCGGCTCGGTTTCTCCATTTAGACCTAGCTGCCTAAATTTGCTCCTCTAGTTTTATCTCTCTCAAAATTCTCAAACTGCAAGGGCAATACTAATATACCATAATACTTCGAGTATTAATTCTAATCATTACGACATTTGTTATTAGTATTGATGGCATCATGTATGCATCAAAACTACTCCATAACAGTATGAGATTTAGGGCCCGTTTATTTTATGCGTTTAAACTTATAATTTTGATTCTACTATAGTGTTTTTCTCTCATAAAAAGTTTGAATTTCAAATATGAGAATTAAAAATAATTGATTTAAATAAGTGAATCAAATGGACTCTTAATAATTTTAATTTTTTAATCATAAAATAGTTCTATTTTACCATCACGCGTATACTAACGTATGTATCAATCTACAATAAAAATGAATTGCAGTCTCTTAAGTACTAAAAGCTCTATTTATTTAGTGTTTTTTTAATATTTATTTAGTGTCGCGAGGTAATGAGAGCACGTTGTCAACATGTTACACAGTTATATTCCTTCACCAAATACATCCACTTGAATTCAATCCTAGAATGATACATTAGTTTTGTTTAATGATCTTTGACAAATGAATTAGACAATAGAAAAAAAAAAAAAAAAAAAAAAAACCCCTTCTTGCAAATGACGACTCATATGCCGGTGGTCAAATAAAGCATTGAAATGGTATTAGGCTATTAGCTATGTACTACATACCTAACCGCTAATGAGGAGAAAAAAAAAGGAAGTAAATTTAATAAACTATATTGATTGGTTGCCTAAAACCACCAATCATAGGTAAGTTTGAGGAAATTCCTTGCAATACTAAGTTTGGAACTTAGAAAAAGGCAAAAACCTACTAAAGCATAAAATATTAAATGTTAACTGACCTCTTAGTAGCTAAGCATTAAACGGATATGACTCACATGAATCACCAAGTCACCAACCATCACTATCAAGCTAGAAAAAATGAATCTTATTAAGGATTGAAAACTGATGTTGGACAATGAGATTGTTTGCTATGTTCTAGAAAGGACGGAATACTTCAGATAAGCACAAATAATGGTAGTGGGCCTTAGGCCCAAGCTGTCTTTACCATTTGTTTCCCAAATAAAACGAGGGGAGAAAGAGGGAAATAAATTAATTTACATAAGTTAATAAATAGGTCAAATTATTGTTTTTGTCCATAACTTATCTGGTTATGAACCATAACTTGATAAGTTATTGTCCATAAATCACGGTTTTTGTCCATAACTTGTTTGGTTATGAACCATAACTTGACAAGTTTATCCATAACTTATCTAGTTATGAACCATAACTTGACAAGTTATGGCCTATTAATTTCTATAACTAAAAGTTGGCCTATATACTTCCTTAAGCTTTTTATATTGGTATATTTTCACTATTTCTGATAAAACGAGGAGAGCATGTACTATTAGGGTATGTATTGATGTATCTTTATAAGTCAAACTTGGTAGCAACTTTTTGATTCTTAAACACACTGCATATGCAAATTCATGCTTAGGTTGACCAAACCATGAGCTAGACAAAGGAGCCAAATATTAGGAATATTTTTATATCTTTTTTTCACCGACTGTTTTTCATTGCCTTCAACACGCACCAAAACCAAATATTAGACATGTAGAAGTTTTGAATGTTTCATGTCGTTTGGCTATTTCTTCTAAAAATTTGTGGCCCAATATTTGTGGGAATCGTTAATGACCTCACCAAAAAATAGACAAATAGTCCTTAGAATGCATAGTTTTGAATTTTTACTACTTACACTTGATTAATACCCTTTAATCAAAGAACTATATTAGTCAATTAAAGAGTATTAAAAAAGAATAAAAGGTAAAAATCTTACAACAATACATGAGTTTACCAATTTTCTCGGTAAGTTCACTACGGAAGAGACCCGAAGCCGAGTCCATGCTCAATACGCAAACTCAAGCCTCCATTTTTGTCCATTGGGCCTTTATGGCGGACTATAGGAAACTTGAAAAGTTAGACATGTAGAAAAATGTTTATGATCACACTGAAATATACTAAAAATTTAAAATATTTTATAAATAGAAAAAAATTTACATCATTAAAATAACTATTATGTAATTTTTTAGAATAAAATATGATGAATATTATTAAAATAATTACTATATAACTTTGCCATTCCTAAAATATTTTTTTAAAATTTTTTCCATATTTCAACCTAATTATTGTAAATTTGCGTGCATGTACTGTAATTTTTAAAGCATGAAGGAAATAGAATAATATAAACTTATAGGGGTTGGTGTTTAACTATATCACTTTTATAAAAAGTTTTTTGCCTTACATATAAAAGTTGTACGAGTGAGTAACTAGTCCTAATAAGTGATATTGGCGCCAAAAAAAAATGTTTTGTATCATAAGTAAAAACTATTTTTCAAAATTCAAAATACAGAATAAGGGGAAAATTCTATAATAAAGTTTGAAAAAATACCAACCGATCTCAAGTTCTATTAGTATTGCATGTTTTTTCATTTTGACGGTGATGTTGACCAAATCTTATATTCGCTAAAAGAGCCTTTTTCTAAAAGAAAATTTATAATATTTCATTTTCAGAATTTCTTTATGTGTGTGGCAAAAAATACTTATATTATTGTACATATTTCGAAAGCATTCCCCTTACTTACTTATCTCCCTTCTATCTTCTTTATCTCATCCCTCTTTTTTTGATGCTTGCATCTCAAGCACCATTGCCCTTTGTGGACAGCGAACTAGGCTGTCAAACCTCGAGGTCCGCTCAAGCGTCACACACTTCCAGCGTCGGCATATATCGAGCGGCGTGAGGCCTCCAACAAGATCCCGGTGCAATCTAGCCAGCTATAAATGGATCATGTTGGATCATGCAGAGATGTGAAGTCGGAATGAATGACTTCGAGCCTAATAACGTTATACATTTACACGATGACAAATGACTAGTCTCACGCTAAAATTGAAACTTAAAAGGGCGCGTTTAGAATTCGTTCTAAAAAATGTTTTTATTTTTTGTATGCAAATGAAAATAAAAACGTTTTCAATCTCAGACAGAAATTATTTTTAAAAATACGTTTGGTAGTTTTATCAAGAGATTATTTTTAATGTAAAAAAACCATTAATGTCTCTCTTTCTCTCTCTGCTGGAGATAGGAGAAAACGAAAATAAAAAATGAAAAACGACTAAAAATTGTTTTTCATTTCTCTCTTATTTTCTACTAAACTAAAAAAATCATTTTCATTTTTATTTTTTATTTTTATTGCACTAAATACCGTTTTGAAAACGTTTTCATTTTTTCTTTCTCAAAAAATGTAAAAAATAAAAACGGAATTCCAAACACGGCCAAAATGAAGGAAAAAGTAATGATCTTTGTCTCTTTGATATGATGAGAACAAAGGGCATTGAAAAATTATGCCGTTATAATAATAAAATCACCAAAAACTATAAAACCACGTTAGGAGACAAAGCTCAATTAAGCCTTGCACGATGACTTGGAGAAACCTCTATTTTAATGGAGAGAAAGGCACGCAAATAGATGGGATCAAGGGACAAAAGAGAGTTGTTGTGACTAATCAAAAGGAAACACGTGGAAAAAATAAAAAAATACCAAAATCACGAAGTGATCATTGTGGTCAATGGTGAATTGGCCATGCACAATAGATGATGATTATATGACATGAGTTGTGGTAGCCATAAACGACACAGCATTATTATGTATTAATATTATATAAGCCCAAACACTGCCCAATGTTCATGGCCGTGGGAAGCACTAATCCCCAACGAACCTTCTCAAACGGGTCAACGGCCAACCGAGTAACGGCCACCTCTCCTTCATTTCCCCCCAAACAAATAACAGAAACTTAAACAAATAAATAAAATTAAAAAAAAGAGAAAAAAAAAAAAAACGAAGCTGATTACGAAGAAGAACAGTTCTCCTTCATTTTCGGCCATGACTGTTCTCTTCAGCCACTCCCTTTCTTCCCAAAACCAAATCCATTTCCCTTATTGTCGTTGCAGAGAAAACTTAACAAAAAAAAGAAACTTAAACAAATAAATAAAATTAAAAAAAAGAAAAAAAAAACAATTTTTTTCATAAACAACATTCTGTATAGCAAGAATTCCTAATTAGTGATGATGGAGAAGTCCATTAGCTTTTCAAAAGATGGCAACCGGAAAAACGACACCGTTGGCACGCCCAAACACGGCTCCAACGACACCGCCGATGCGAAAACGTTGTCGGAGTCTCAAATCCCTGGGGAAACAGAAGAAAACGACATTAATATTGCGGAAGATCATCCTTCCTCTGAATCCAGTACGAGCCTCGCTCAGGTCGTGGACGAGGTCGATCGGTTCTTACAGGCTCTATCATCCACCGTAGAAGACGAATCGAAATATCCAGAAGCTCCTGAATCCGTTGAGATATTGTCGACAATGGTGGATTCCATGATCACAGATTACAACGACGGGAAAAGTCTGATACGGTTTGGGAAGGATCCAGAAAACGACTCGTCGTTTGTGGAGGCGCTAAACCGAGTCTCCGAGCTGTCGAACAAGTTGGGAGAATTCCCGTCGTTGGCTTCGAGTCTGAACAGGATGAGCGCTGTTCTGCAGCGAGCCATGTCGTTCTTGGATGAGGAGTTCCGAACTCTTCTAGAAGATTGGAAATCCGAAAAATCGAAGAACAATGAGGAGAATTGTAATTCCGATCGCTGCGTCCTGGTCGATCAAAACCAGCAAGATCATCAATCCGATCAAATGGAAGATCAAGATCAAGGAATCCCTCCCACTTTTGTTTTCTCTCCTGAAACCGTCTCCAAACTGAACGCGATAGCGACGGCGATGATTTCTGCGGGCTACGAAGCCGAGTGCGCCATGGCGTACAGCGTCTCACGTCGGAGCGCGTTCAAGTCGGCGCTCGACGATCTCATCGGCCACGAGTGTTTCAGCATCGACGACGTCCAGCGGATGCATTGGGAACCCCTGGAAGGAGAGATCGCCACGTGGATCGCCGCTGTCAAGAGCTGCTCCGCCGTGCTCCTCCCCAACGAGAGGAGCCTCTGCAACGCCGTTTTCTCCAGCCGCCCTTCCTCATCGCACAGCCTGTTCGGCGACACCGCACGCGCCGCCGTGATCAAGCTCCTGAACTTCGCCGAGGCCATGGTTCTGACGAAGCGATCGGCGGAGAAGCTGTTCAAGTTCCTCGACATGTACGAGACGCTCCGAGATCTGGAGAGCTCGATCGGAAACGACGCCGGAGGATCGTATCCGTCGGAGGTCGCAGCGGAGACGGCAACGGTGAAGGCATGGATCGGGGCGGCGGCGGCGAGCATCTTCTGCGATCTGGAGAACTCGATCAAGAGCGACAATGGGAAAACTCCCGTTGCGAGTGGCGCAGTGCACCCCCTGACTCGCTACGTCATGAACTATCTAAAATACGCCTGCGAGTACAAGGACACGCTGGAGCAGGTGTTCCGCCAAACGGATCAAGAGGTGAAGGATGATGATGATGGTGATTATCACGATCATCGTGATCGTGATAGGGAGTCCGAAACATCGCCGTTTTCGAGGCAGCTATCAACGGTGATGGATCTGTTAGACGCCAACCTGGAAATGAAGTCGAAACTGTACAGAGATCCCTCCCTCAGCTTCATCTTCTTGATGAATAACGGACGGTACATTGTGCAGAAGATCAAGGGGTCCTCCGAGATCCACCAATTGATGGGCGACACGTGGTGCAGGTAGGGACAAATACAAACAAGACACTTTATAGGGTTGCTCATAAAAGTTTGATATCTTACCTATGTCTTATATATTTTTTTTCCTCATAAAAGTTTGATATAGTAATAGTGCACTTCTATTTGGTTGCAAAATAGGAGTATGAGACAATTAGTCAAATTATTTTGATTGTTTTATTTTATTTTTTTCCCATTTCACAAAATACTGTCAAAATTAACAACATTAAATATGAAAAGAGATCAGTTTTCTATTAAAAAAAACGTTTTCATCATCTTAATTGGCTATGTAATTAAGTAATTGTTTAAGTTTAAAATACAATATTCTTAACTATAGAATCGCTATCACTTATGAAAATTTGTTAATTTCTGGATGTGTCACTACTCACTATATATGTAGGAAGAGGTCGTCGGATTTGAGGCAGTACCACAAGAACTACCAGAGGGAGACGTGGGGGAAGGTGTTGCAATGCTTAGGGCAACACGATGGGCTTCAGGTCAACGGGAAGGTGTCGAAGCCGGTGTTGAAGGAGAGGTTCAAGAGCTTCAACGCCATGTTCGACGAGATTCACAAGACACAGAGCACTTGGGTGGTCAGCGACGAGCAACTCCAGTCGGAGCTCAGGGTCTCGATATCGGCGGTGATGATCCCGGCATACAGGTCCTTCTTGGGGAGGTTCAAGCAGTACTTGGACTCAGGAAGGCAGTCAGAGAAGTACATCAAGTACCAGCCGGAAGATATTGAGACTCTGATTGATGAACTGTTTGATGGGAACTCAACGTCCATGGCTAGGAGGAGAACATAACTGTCCATGCATAATTATCAAGAAATTTGATTAATTGGCGCGTTAATTTGCTTTTTTTTTTTTAAAAAAAATGATCCTGTATACTTATATTTGTATTGTTCTTAACTATACATACCAAGTGTTTGACAGGCATATTATAAGCACTCAAGTCATGTAAAATGTATTTCAGGTATTGGAGCTTATAATGTCTAAATGTTAATGTTTTGTGACATTCCATGTTTTTTGTTTCTTGTTGAAAACTTATTTGGTCAGCACACAATTAAACGACAGATTCGGAGATATGAGTATGGCACTTCGAATATACATCCATATTATTAATTAGTTGTCGTTTCTTTCTTTTCTTTTCTTTTTTTCTTAAGTTATTTGTTGTCGTTTCTAAAGCAATCAATTCACACTTCACACAACAAATTTGATTAATTGGCGCGTGTTTTTTTTTAAAAAAAAATCTTTTCCCCATATTTCTTTCTTGCTTTTTGATGATCCTTGTATACTACTTATAGTAGTGTATTGTTCTTAACTATGCAGTGTAAGAACTCAAGTCATCATATTGTAACTGTATTGGAAGTGGAGCATATAATATTGTCTGAACATTCAAATTTTGTGACATCATTAATTCAATTTTGTTTATCAATTCTTTTGGTTTGGTTTATATATGCACATAGACTTAATAGTTAGGCATATAATATTGTATACAAACTATACAAAATATATAGGCAAGATCAGAGAAAGAGAGTCATGCTGAAAATTTGGTGCCACTTCATCCTACATCCAGTTTAGTTGTAATTTTAAAAGCAAGCAATTCAGTTCGTAATTTCATCTCTTCCACATTTTCTTCTTTGTCTCTCTCAATCAAAAGAAATAAAAGCCAGAATAGTAAGGCTTCTTTTGAGAGTTTCTTTAGTAAGACCATAAAAATGAAGTATTAATAATTTCTTACTTTCGATCATTAAATTTGTATTAAAAATTGTCTATTTTACATACTTTTTTAATTTTGATCAGATGTAACGATTAAAAATAAACCCTACCTGTAGGTGGAAACCTTACTGGAGAAGCTCTCATTTTTTTTTCTCTCTCTTTTTTTTCCTTCTTCTTTTAAATGGGATGTGGCACATTTGATATAAATCTACGCAACTATAGCTAGTGGCAGGGCACCAAACTTGCTTGTTCAAATAATTACAGTTTTGAAACCATGGAATTTCTCTTTTGATTATTATTCATCAGTTAGACCAGGCATGCATGCATCAACAAACCAAACAACCTTGAACAATTTTCTAAGAGCACGTTTGGTATAAGGGTTCTAGAATCTGAAACTATGATTCTGGTTCAAACTAGTATTTGTTTATAAAAAGTAAAAAATAGTTCTGATTTGACTCACTTAGAATCAGTGTTTGGTTTGAATGGTTCTGATTCAAGGTTTGAATCCTGATGTGATGTTTTAAACTAGGAATCACTCATAATTCTAAAACCACCTCCCTTTAGTTTTGAGTGGTTCAAACCTCTTATTCTGGTTCTGGTTTTAAAATCATGACTTGGACTGGAAATCATGAATCATAATTCTGATTTCAAAATCAAAACTAGAATCACCCTCGTTTAAACCCTCATACTTAACGAAGCCTAGCTAAAATGGTAGCCACTGTTTTCAATATAAATATGATATCCCCCTAGTTCGAACTCCTGAGTTGGCTGATTGTTTAAGGATTGTCACTTACGTTATTGTTTTCCAATAGCTAAGCCTTTAGTTATTGTTCATTATCATCATGTCACACAACAAATGCGTGCATTTAGTCCTAATTAATTCTTTTTCTTTATCACTTCCTCTCAAAAAAATCATTTTGTTGTTGTACACATAAATGCTGTTATGACTCTACATTCCACGCAAGAAAAGGAAACTCATGACTCTACAAGACTAGAGAGAGAAAAGGAGTATATGGTTGCATTGTATTGCATTACATTGCATGCGTAAAGAGAGACCGCGAGGAAAGAACACCGGAGAGACTAGAGAACTAAAAAGTTGGTTTACGGTCGGATTTGGTAGGTAAGGCCAAAAACGCAGGAGCTAAAAAACACAGACCAAGTCTAAAGTATATATAATATATATCTATATATATTAATGCCTATATGGATACGATCATTTAGCTAGTATTTGTAAATGAATAGCAGAGATATATGGAATTAAGTTAAGAGTCTGCATGGTGCATCCTTATATCCCGCCGGTATTCGGCGCACATAGACACCGTACACTCAGCCGCCGCCCGACTCATACTGAGGAATGCAGGCCACGCCTCACCTTTTTCAATGCCTTCCGACTGCCACTTTGTCACTGCTTTTGCCTAACATCCTTCCTCATTTATGCTCAACTTGCTTTCCCTTCTTTACATGCATTCAATCCCCCCTTTCCTTTTTTAATTATTAATTTGCTTACGTGGATTCCCTCTGCCAATTCAACTGCACCACGCTAGCTAGGATATATATATATGTATATATATATATATGTATGTATACATACATCGACAATATTGATGGGAACATGGTAAATTGGTAATATATGTATTTTCTAACTTGTGTAGATGAATATCCAATGGATATTAGTATATGCAGAAGGGCTATACTTATATGTGCTTCTTTTTACTAAACAGAATGATTATGAGCTTGTTCGGTTGGATTTTTTAGTTATGATGATTTGAGTGTAGATCTTGAGTTGAATTTGAGTTATAATTTGAATTGAAGTTGTAATTTCAGTTTGTGTTTGGATGTGCACATTTGAGTTATGATTTGGATTGAGAATCTATTTGAGTTTGTGTTTGAGTTGGTCAAAACTTGAATTTATATTTAGATAATATTTTAATAAAACTCAATGGTGATGAAAAATTTTAAAAGGGTATCTGAGTGGGGTTTTATTCGTCTCTTCGTTGTGAACGCATAGAAAAAGAAATCATCTCAGTTGGAATTAAAACGAAAAAGTTATGACGTTTTTAAGAAAAGAAAAAATATTGTTTATTAACTTGAGTTTGAGTTTAAGAACTTGAATTGAAGGGAAAATTTGAACTCAGATTTTAGGCTCAAACTCAAGTTAAAACTCGAGTTAAAACTCAAATTAAAACTCAAATTTTACAAATAAACATAAACTTAAAAAAAATTGTAACTTAAGCTCAAACTTTTTTTGAGTTTTTCAAAGAACAAGCCCTATGACATTTGATTATCCACACTATGGTGTCTGTCAAATGTTACTAATCTTCTCTACAAATTATGGATGTACTTTACCTGTGTTACACGCTATGTTCCATTTTTCTTTAAATAAACACAAAAAGTCATTATTGTGTAGGGTGAACACCTTATCCAATATCAAGTAAATTAAAATTTAGCATTGGGAAAAAAAATTAATAATTTATTTTTAGCTTGTAGCTAATGATAGTTTAATATTGTTCTCATATTGAAAGGTTATTATTGCTTGTGCTTTAAAAGTTAGAATGATATTATTGTGGTGATTATTCTCTGTAGTCTTTTATAAACACAAGTATTAAATTTGCATTACTATAAAGATTTTTTTTTTTTTTTGATTTGTTGTTCTCTTATTTGCATTTCTTTCTTGTTTTCTTTTTTTACTTTTTCTAATAATTATTACCTCTATTTTGAGGTCATGTGTGTTCATTCAGGAAAAAAGTATTCACCATGTACATGTGAGTTATATATATTGAGGTAACAAAGTTGTATATTGTACAGCAAAAGCAGTGCCACAAATAAAGCAAAACTCTTGAAACCAATCTCAGGAAAAATAATAATAATCTCAGTACTAAAGAAAAAGGAAAAGAAAAAGAAGAAAAAGATGCGTGAGAATGCATAGGCAAATGCAGTAGTTTTTTTAAAAGGGAAATGGCACAGTGAGAGAGGTGAAGTCAAAGTGACGAACCCAAGAAGACAGAAACGTTTTGATGATGAGTACTGTTACTGTATGAGTATGACCATATATATATGTGTGTGTATATACATATACACACACACATTGTTTACCGTTTTTGAGAATCCAAATGAAGGAAGCAAACATGCGCGTAAGGGTCACGTCAGAATATGCCCAAAAGTAGTTTTGGTCCTACCTTACTTCCCCGACAACAAGGACCAGCTCAGCCGTCTACTCTCTTCACATGGCATCCCCTCTCTTCATGCATTCCCAAAACAATCTGCAACATATACAATATATACTGATATACATATACGTACATACACATATAATTTATATTCTGGGACAGCTTTTAATACGACCAATATGTATATGTATATATAGCTGATAGTTACTGTATTCTGTAGTGTAGACAAATACTTCCCCGAACCCGCCCTTCATTAGCTGACACCTCTATATACTGGCGTATATATAGCTTTGCTGTATATATTAATAATATTGTATTTGTATGAATTAGCGTTGCTTTGTCTACGCTGTGAGTACAGACAACAATCTTATTAAAGAAAAAAACACGAGATCCTCTACGCACGCGGTGCGACAATAACAGACAAACTCTCTCATTATTTACCGTTTTACCCCCTTCCTAATCCAATCCCAATATCCCCCACTAGTTCACCCCTTCTCTCTCTCTCTCTCTCTCTCTCATCTCTATAAATAATCCCACCGACCCCATTTTTCAATATCTCCACGCTTACTTCATTGCCTCTCATTTCTCAAACATTACTTAGGGTTGACCGACCGCAGTTTAAGGTTCAGGTTTAGGGTTGCGACAAACAGAAACAGAGAAATTAAAATGCAGTATCAGGCGGCTGACTCGTGGGGATATTATGTGCCGGCGGCACGGTGCATGGGAGGTGGGGACCCACTGGAGAGGGTGGCGAGGCTGGCGGCAGAGAGCGCGGTGGTGGTGTTCAGCGTGAGCAGCTGCTGCATGTGCCACGCAGTGAAGAGGCTCTTCTGCGGGATGGGGGTTAATCCGACGGTGTACGAGCTCGATCACGATCCCCGAGGCAAGGAAATCGAACGGGCTTTGATGAGGCTGCTCGGCACCCCCAATGCCGTCCCCGTTGTCTTCATCGGCGGCAAGCTCGTCGGCGCCATGGACCATGTCATGGCTTCCCACATCAATGGCTCCCTCGTCCCGCTCCTCAAGGAGGCCGGAGCTCTTTGGCTCTGATATATGTGTAATAAAAAAAAAATCTATATACATATATGAGCAGACAAAGAAACCAAAAATCCAGAGAGAAATTAAGGAAGTTAAATTTTTAGTAGGTGCCGGTGGAGTTGTTTTGGTGATCTCCGAAACTTGGTTTTATACGTGTGGGACTATGTTTTGTTTTTGTTTTTTTTGTTTTTTGTTTTTTGTTTTTTGTTTTTCCCTTTGGTTTAGTCTAATAGCAAAATATAAGAGGTGTGATTTGTTGCGAGGCTTCTAATGATGATGATGATCAGTATGAGGCAGTGATATTTGCCTAGTAGTCATGTAATCAACATCTGATCGTATGGTTCTTTTTGTATATAAATGGAATTAATTGCAAATTTTTTTCCCGCCTGGAATTTGCTTTGATTTTATGTGTTTGTCTTCCTTTTTCTTTCTCTGTGTTTTCAGTTTGTTTTTACTTTTAGACAAATGCAGTATCTCTGTCTCCTAATTAAGTCTTAATCAACAGTTAATCACAAAGTTTATGCCGATTAATTATTTAACCGGCAGTACGTAATTGTTCTTTGAGTGAAAGGTCTTCCCCGAGCTGCCTGGTTCTTCAGAGTTAGCTCCATTACCTTTTGTTTCTCTGTAGAAGATAATAATGAAAACTTTTTGATGCCAATATTTCTATTTATTTTTGTTTAAGGATCTTTTTTTTTTTATTTTTTTATTCCACTCTACAAGGAATATGTTTCGGTAAGTGACCATGAATTTACAAGTAAAAACTTTTTCACATGGAAAATTCTTTTTCATTCTATTGAAAAGGACGTTATTATTTTAGCTTTATCGAAAAGTCGTTTTTGTTTTTGTTTTTTAACTGTTGTTTCATACTTTATTGTCGTTTTTTAATTACTTGACTAGATTTCTTATCGTTTTCATCTGTTGGTGTCGTTTTTATTTTATTGTTGTGTTTCTCATGTTGTCCTTTTCTTTTCATTTTCTTATCGTTTTACCATGTTCCCGTGCTTGTCGTTCTCATTGTGTTATAATTTTGTCCCTTGTTCTCGCTTTTCCTTTATTGTCGTTCTGATTTTGTTGTCATTTTCTTCATTTAATAAGTAGCTTCTTCTAAAATAAATTTTTCCTTTTTAAATTACCCGGCATTTTCAGGTCTCATTCATTTCACCGATTTGAATTTTGTTACAGTAAAAATTTCTAAAAAACAATCATATATAAGTTTTTTGCTACAATAAACTCTCACATAAAATTACATCCTAATTCGAATTAAAAACTCAAATTAACAAACTAAACGCCTTTTCACTTTATGAGCGCTTTCATATTCTGGTCGTATTTCCACTTAGCTGTCTCTTTCTCTTTTTTTTTTTTTTCCAATTTAATGTCTTTTTCCCATATGCCTTTTTTACACGGTATTTATTGTTACTTTTTATTTTCTATCAATGCAGTTTTTAATTTGCTGTCTTTTTTTTTTTCTCTCGCTTTTTATTGCAGCCTTCTATCCTAGTTTTTCAGCATTGTCGTTTGATGTATTGTCATTTTACTTTCTTGTTGTTTCGTTTTTATTTTCCTATTGTTTTCTTGTTGTTTTCTAATTTTGTTCTGGTGTTTTCCTACGTCGCTTATCAATCATTGTTGTCTTACTTTGTTGTCGTTTTCTTTGGACGACGCCTTTGTGTGTGTGTGTGTGTGTGTGTGTGCAGGGCGTGGCATGCTTTAAACCTCATCATTGTCGGAGTTACTTTGTTGTCGTTTTAACTTCTGCGCTCTCATCCACTCCAGCTCAAGAGCAAATTGGATCGGTGACGTGTGCTATGAAATCAGGCTATTTACGGCCCATAATGATTAACACTTCGTTCATCCAATTTGAGTTTTTAATTTTAAATTTTTATAATAAAAATTTTTTAAAAAATATAATATCTAAATTTTTTTATTTAAAAAATTTTTATTTCACCAATTTGAGTTTTTAGTTTTAAATTTTTACAATAATTAAGGCCTCATTTATTTCACCAATTTAATTATTCGGCATATTATTTATTTTATCAAATATTTTCTCATCTCTTTTTTTTTTTTTTTTTTTTTTTTTTTTTATAAAGTTAGAAGTGTTAAAAATTAATGAATTGTCCTTCCGTTTTGATTTCATCTTAAGTCTCAACCAATTAACTAAAATTCCCTATTATTTTCCAAAATTCCTCAAATTTTTTTTCCTCTTCCTTTTACCGCCCTGCAAAGCATAGGCAGAGTCTTACAAAGTACTGACAAATCATGAAGCCAAGAAGAGCCAGATCAGGACATTGAATTCCCTTTGATAGACAGATAGTCACTGTTTAAGTCAAATGGGGGCTTCTTGAGATCTAGACTATGAAAATAAGCACAATACATAAATATTCCAGTCATGACAAGCCAAAGGAGAAGCCTATTATTGACAAATTTGTGAATCGGTGAATCCAGGTCCTTGGATTTATCACATATACTTGTTCTCATCCGACAAGAGTCCAAAACAAATAAGGGAGCCCTAACTTGAAAGAGAATGGATGGCTAATGTAACAGTGTCAGTGATGATCAACAATTAAAGTCTCGTTCGCTTTATTAATTCGAGTTGAAAAGTAAATTCACGTGAAAAAATCACTGTAGCAAAAAAAGTTAAATTTAAATCTTTGTGATAAAAAACACTGTAACAAATACTTAAATTACGATTTGAACTAGTGAAGCAAATGAGACATTAGTTTGGACCAACACAAAATTAACATTATATTATAGTCCTTATGTTCGCCCGCAACCGTCAGTGTCAAGTTTTGATTGTATATGGTGAGTGAGTATTGTTTACACATGAATTGGTGTTAAATTTTCGTTAAGTACCGCGATTATCGTAACTCAACTTTATCTAGACAACCGAACTCAATAAAATAAAAATAGAACTAGAACAAATATTATTACAAAAACAAAATAAAATATGGAAACTTCTATGCACAAATGTACCATGGACTTAATTTCACCTTATCATTTCTATGTTCATCCTATCAAACCATTGCTAGCCAATTCCACTCAATTCATTAATTAAGGGACCTAATCTAACCTCGTTACCTCTCCCGAGCGTCAAATGAAATCATATGCATGAATACCAGAATCAATAATCCTATTTAACCCGTTCACTTATACATTCATTAAGTTTAACCCTTAAATTGAAAATCAAATGCCGATCGCCTCCCGACCTCACAACAATCGAAATCCTAGTTGATAATTGAGGTCTTGATCATCTCCTGGTCTCATAATATCCTAGACTTTCAATGAGATTATCTAAGTGTCGATCTCCTCCAAGACTCACAATAGTCTAGACTATGTTTTCTAATTCCAGACTATGAAATCAATCTCTCCCGAGCATCAAAATTCCAATCTAAAATTGCCTAACTCATTGGCCACGTAAATTACAAACATTAAGCATAGAGAAACATAGGGCCTGTTTGTTTGCGTTTTCGTTTTCATTTTTCACGGTTTTCAAAGCAAAAAAAATGAAAACGGGTGTTAAAAACGTGTTTGGTGCAATTTTGTTTAAAAAACAAAACCAAAAACGTTTTTGTCTTTTTGTGAAAATCAGAAAACGAAAAAAATGTGTTTTCATTTTCTTGTTTTCGTTTTCTATTTTCTGAAAAACGGATTTCACTTTTTTTTTTCTTTTTCATTTTCT